CTCAAAGGGTCGTTGTAAAAAAAAGTGAGTAAATCACTTCTCACAAAGGGCCCGTTCACTTAACGCTGCTATCATCATTTTGAGAAAGTATTTTTGTCCGGTATTTTGAAAAGTATTTTGGTGGTGCATTCTTGTGATTCAATTTGAAGAAATTTCTATTAGAGATATTACCTGGGATTTAAACCCCACAGGAAATGTTTGTTTTACCATGTGCCACAAGCACAGTAGAGAAAGCATGCAATATAATTTGTAAATATATTTGAATCAAAGATATGTAGTCTATGTTGATACAAATCTTAACAGCTGATTTTTAATTTTTCTGCTACATTACCATGAGGTATAGCATCCCAAATCACCAAAACATTATATGATTAAGGTATACTTTATTGTCCCAGAGGGAAATTTGTCTTGGGCTCAAAAATACAGCCACTGCATCACATAAAACAAATAGTAAAATGACAAAATAAAACAATACAATAACACATAAGTTAGAAAGAGGAAAATAATAATAATATATTACTTAGTATTATTTAATAGCTTAATTGCAGAAGGAATGGCTTTTCATGGTGTTCAGACATATAAGAGTAATGAGTAGGGCATATTATGTTTTCCTCCTGATCCTCATTTTTCCTGTATGGTGTAATTTAGCATAATTGAAATGCTGTATGACCATGCAGTAAGGTTAATGTGAATTAATCTCCCTTCAACATTAGCCTATAAGATTTCAAAATGTTTGTTATTTTATTTAACAAAAAATGTGTTTATGATAGTCTTGAATCATACTAAATTACTACAGTTTTTATTGTAGTAAAGGTAAATATGGTGTTTTGGCGGGAACTATGGTAAAGGGAGAGTGATCAGTTCTCAGCAGATGTCGCTGTTGCCACAGTAATACTGACCGGCCGCGCGTGTGCGCGCTCGTTTTCTCCACGTTCATTAACTTGTTTACCAGTTCTGCTGGTGGACTTCCCGGTAAATTGCCTTAACATCAGTTCTGAACGGTAGAAACGGCATCAGTGCGGCGCGTCCTCGGGCTTCGCGCCACCGTGAGCTTCACCGGGCCTCACCTGTCTCGAGCGCTCTTCTAACCCGGAAGCTGCGCGAGTTTAATTATACCAGAGCTGCGGTTCGCGCCAGCAGGGGGCGTTACGAGCACACTGTGATCAAACCAACTGGGCTCTACTGTGGTAGGCCTATTATTGTATTCTCTTTAAGTAGATTTGGATTTCGTATCTAAGTAGATTCATAATGTTTTGTCTATAGCTTACCCGGATACAAATCTACAGCATTGCAATGTTTTTGATAACATTGTAACATAATGCCATGTTTTGTTACTTTTGACATTTGCGTTATTGTAGGGTAATAGCCTACCATGTTTAAGAATCTTGGTGTAAAAAAAAAAAACATGGTGCCACCACCACAGTACTAGTATTTGTAAAGGATGACGGCAAAGTTACTTTGATAAATAGTCTACTACCTCATATTACTCCAACGTGGTACAGTAGGCCTTTGTCTAGATCCAAGTGTCCCTGTTTCCTATCAGTTATTCTGTTGAATATAGCTCCCTTTGATTGTTTTTGTGGATATATGGTATTTGCATAGCCTACAGTAGGCCTAATCATAAAATACCATGTCTGAGACCATACTATACCATGTTTATGCAGCATGTGTTACACCTCAGTGTCTTAACAGTCTTCTTCTGTAGACTGTAGATCAGAATTCAAACTCATTGATTAATGTCTTAAGAATAAGCGTTCACATATTTAACTGACTGAAATAACGAGACCAGATTCTCTTCCTGCCTCCAGGTGCAGATAAACACCAGTAGGCTACATCCTCCTTACGATTCTTTCATTTTACTTAAACGCCTCACACACATAGGCCTATAAACGTGTATTTTACAAATCTTTTTGTTGGTAAGTTTGAAATTCAGTGCAGCCAATTCTGTAGTTGTTTGTAGAGCCGTGTTCATTAGCGCCGGAGTCAATAGCAGCTCTTAACGTATCTCGACTCAGATTAAAGGTTTAGTTTAGCTTTCAAAGTCTAACGCGCGGGTCAGGACTCGTTGGCTGTCTGGATTACAAGGGTTAACAGGCGATTTAACCGAATCAACTTAACCAGATAATGCAGAGGATTTATTTCTGCCTGATTATTCTAATATGCTTTAGATTAGAATGATGACGACTGTGAAGACTCTCACGCACGCGCGGCACTAGAAGACATATAAACTTCCCTATTAGCTGCTTCAGTTAAAATGGCATTTGTGCAGTATTTTATCAGGCAGTTGACAAGTGAATTAGAGTTGGCTGTTAGCGCCGTTGAGCTTTATGACAATAGCCTTAGGGTCTCGCTAAAGATCGCTTCACCGCCCTGCTCAGCCCGCGCCGCGCGCTACCGCTGACGCTCAAACCGAAGTGACATGCTGTCATAACAATAGTTTACAAAAACGTGAAGTTCTGCGTTTGGGCAGAAAAAGCCAGAGAGTTTTAACTTCTGCGTCTGTCTCTTTTTTCCCCTCCCTACCGACATCCCATTTGCGCTCTGACAGATTTGGATGTTTTTAACTGTGCTTATGTTCTCTCTCTCTCTCTCTCTCTCTCTCTCTCTCTCTCTCTCTCTCTCTCTCTCTCTCTCTCTCTCTCTCTCTCTCTCTCTCTCTCTCTCTCTCTCTCTCTCTCTCTCTCTCTCTCATCTGCCTCCCATACATAAAATGCTAATGGTATCGTCATTTGTAAACGGCGTGTGTGTGTGTTTGTTTGGCCAGAATGCTGCTTTCACAGAACTGTCTCCCTCTGACTTGTTGTAAAGGTAAATATAGTGAAATATTGAACAATCCGGCTGTCCAAAAAAATGTACGCGCACTGAAGAAAAAGTTTCTATCTCTCACCAACACACAAAATACATCAAAGAATTGTTCTTTCTTATTGGTATTCTCTGAACGCATCTGAAGGTAGTGAGGTCGCAGTGAGGTCTGTAACCCTACACACACACACACACACACACACACACACACACACACACACACACACACACACACTCACTCACTCACACACACAGTCCAAATGAATTCACACACTGTCATACACAAAGACAGACAGATGTATTGTATATTGTGTGTGTGTGTGTGTGTGTGTGTGTGTGTGTGTGTGTGTGTGTGTGTGTGTGTGTGTGTGTGTGTGTGTGTGTGTGTGTGTGTGTGTGTGTGTGTGTGTGTGTACCTGGCTGCTCTGAAGTCTTTAATGGGATTTTGCCTCGGGCTGTTTTATTAAGATGTTGCTTTCTGCTGCCTGTGCAGCTGACACCATTCCCCCCACCCCAAACACACACACATACACACACACACACACACACACACATTCCCCCCAGACCCCACCTCCAAATGTACACACACACACACACACACACACACACACTCACTCACTCACTCACTCACTCACTCACTCACTCACACTTCATCCTTTTGAAATTTTTGCCACACTGCAGTCCTTGCTCTCAGTCTGAGGCCGGTGTGTGCATGTGTGAGAGTCAGGGGTCCTTATATCGGGTTCTGAACGTTTCCTCAGACAAGATCAGTTTAACTATACCTGAGTTAATGTGTTATGATGGATGAGAGTGTGTCTTTGTTAACACTGTACTTGTGTGCAGGGTTTAGCTGTACTTGGTGGTTTCTTTTAGGGTTTGGGATAGTCTGTATATCGGCTTTATATAAAAACAACAGAAGTTAACATTCCCTCCTTCCTCATTTACATATATATATATATATATTAACGTGTGGGTTTACCTATAGCTACCTCTCAACAAAATTGTTAGCTAAAAATGAAAACCATCCTTAGGGACATCCTCAGTTGCAACAAATATTTATAAATAAAGTTAAATGTTTTCATTCTAAAAGGGATCTTGAGAGATTATAGGTTAAAGTTTTGGTAATGATTTTAAAACCATTGCAATATCTTTATTTAGATAGCTAAGTGTTTGCATATGTGTGTACTTTGGGTACAAATTTGTACAGAAGTTAAAGCTAACAAACTGCGTTGGTGACGAAAAACCCCGTAAATAAAACAAATTTTACATTTATGCAACTTCAAAATGTGATGTTTAATTTAATGTTACTTGCTCTTTCATAGTAATTATTTGTAAAATTAACAAGCAATTTCTTGGTGAAAATTGTATACACCAATTTTATTATGAAATGTCCTCATTTAGAGGTTTTAATTAAAGGAACTAAAACCAAATTTTTCCTCCACAAACGAGCCACAAAATACACCTGTCTAAATATATTTATTTATTTATTGTAATTATAAAAATGCAAATGTTTTAGGGTTTGGGATCCGTTTGGGCTTAAGTGTGTGTAATGTTCATAATTAGTTTTGTATACAAATAACAGAAGTCTATGATATGTCCTCATTTATATAGCTATACGACAAGTTTGTGTGCACACTTAGCAAATTTGTTCCTTGCTTCAAGTCAACTAAATCTGAAAAAACTCACTGAAAAAAATGGGTGTATACTTTGCAACAATTTCCACTCAGAAATTTCTTGTAAATTTTATAATTACAAAGAAACGGCAAGTGTAACAATGAAATACAACTTTCTTGTAAAACGTACTCTACTATATAACTGTTTTCTTTTTTTTCTTCTTTTTTTTTTTTTTACAGTTATTGCTTTGTGAATCTTTATTTGTAAAAATGATTCTTAAATCGTTTAAAATAGTGTTCTTTTCAAAAAATGAAGTTTTAATATCCGGGTAGGGTTAGTATGTAATGTACAGTGTGTCTGTGTGTGTCCTCACATGGACTGGACTCCAAATGAAAAAATAAACATGTGTGCATGTGTGTGGATGGCTGCAGTGACAGGCTGATTGTGCTGTCAGGGTTCGAGATGCTCGATGAGCTTCCTGTTTGTCTCGCTCTGGGCACCGTGTTCATCTGCAGACACTGACTGAGTGCCCTCTCACTCTCTCTCCCTCTCTCTCTTCTCTGCTGTATCCCTGAGGCCTATAGATTGTGCAGAGCAACCTACATTCAGCAGCTTAAAGACACCGAGAGACAGGGAGGCTGGAAAGGATGGGACACAGCGAAGAGTGACAGGAAGATGGAGGAAGAAAAGAAAAGAGTGCATAACAGGAAAAAGGGTTCAGTTAAGCTCTTTCTCTAACACATTTACACACACACAAACACACACACACACACACACACACACACACACACACAGGGAGTTTGCTGGACACTGATGCTTTGTGACATCACAGCACTTTGTCTGATATTTTAAATATGAGGTTGAGACCCTGGCCGGGGGCGGAGCTTCAGAACATACACACACACACACACACACACACATAAACAAGACCGACTGTATACAGTGCAATAGTAACTGCCCATTTTTTAGTTGCTTTGGCTCCGTAAGTATTTTTCGCTTTCAATTTCTCTATAGCATTTCAAAGTAATAAACCAGACCAACCAGACATATATATGCAAACAGTATTTGAAAATCGTAGGGAAAACATATTTGCAGATGCAATCGACTACTCATCCCATATAAGCACTGATTGAGTTGAAAATGACAGTAATTATAAAAACAATGTTTGCCATTTTAATTTATATTATTATACATTTATATTTTTAAACTATATCATAAAAGTCATATGACTTGGGGTTGTTTTAATATTAATTTTATTTTAACACTTTACAATAAGGTTTCATTTTTTAACATCAGTTAATTACTTTAGTTAACATGAATTAAGAATGAACTATACAGCATTTATTAATCTTAGTTAATGTTAATCTCAGCATTTGTATTTGTAAATGCAACTCAAAAGTTGTACACTGAACATGAACAAACTATGAATGACTTGTAATGTTGGAGCTCAACATTACAAAAACGAAGGAGCTATGCTGTGGGGGTAGAGACAAGGCATCAAACTTCAAATTACGTCCATTTTCTTACGAAATTCAAAAACAAATTCCGTTTTGGCGCTGTGGCGTGAGACCGCTCTGGCTCAGCTCAGCTCAAGAGAAGCAGCAGCGCGGAGCGCACATGATCTCCTCCTCTGCCTTAATAATACCAGTTACAGCACGAAATAAACATGAATGAGCATCTGAAAGTGTGTTAAAAGATAGATTACAACTTATCGAAATCCGTATCATGTCACATATCGCTCAATCAGTGTTTCAACCGTGGAAAGACGTCAGTAAAACAACTTGTAAACAATGTCATGTAACGTCACATTTACCTCAGAAAAACCATATGTGACCATAAACTCGTTAGTCAGCTAGAAAAATTAACTCTAAAGAGGAGCATTTTGCTAAATATATGCTCCATATTACATATTCATTATAATTTTTAATGTTCTTCGATATTTAATGCATGTTTGAATAAATCTGGCACGTTTTTATGACAGCCACCATTTAGCCTAAATGTTTATATTTCATATAGCTTTATTATTATATAAATAAATAAAAGTGTAATTTAAGTGTTTGTATAGCTACAAATCAGTTCATTTTTACCTTCAATATTATAGTAGCTAGGCTAATGAAGCCTAGTAGGCTACAACTGACTCCCATAGTTTACAACATTAGTTACGAGTTTTGTTTTTTCTTGAGAAAATTTGCCATGTATTGTACCTGATATCCAAAATAATCAATATTGAATCGAATCGAATTGCAAGCTTGTGAATCGAAATCGAATCGAATTGTGAAATTTGTGTCAATACCCAGCCCGAGTATTTAGGTACCTGGGCACAGAATTAGACACTTCCCCGTCCTTCTCACAACATACAAAAAAGCACAACAACGTCTCCACCTGCTCAGAAAACTTTTCAGATCAGCAATTATGTGTTAACTTTGGTATACCGCTCCCTCATTGAATCAGTTCTTACTTTCAATATCTCTTCCTGGTATAACCAACTCACCATCAAACGCAAAATACGCTGCCAAAATAAGTGGCTCCCCCCATCCCTCCCTATCTGAGCTGTACAGCCGCTCAGTGATCCGGAAAGCCAACCTGATCACAGAGGACCCTTCTCACCCCCTCAATAACTCCTTCCAGCTACTACCATCAGGCAGGCGTTTTAAAGTAACACTATGTAGTTTTTCAACCTTCATAATATATTTCCAAGACCCTTGTGATGGTACATCGACTTACAATAGGTTAAATGACACATCTGCCATAGCCTGACGTGGTCTGTATCGCTTTTACTTGCACTATGTAACTTTCGGGTAGTAACCGGAGCACAAAAAGAAGTACAAAATTCGACTGCTTTACGGCATACGTCACTTCCCCCACCACTTCCTCAAATTGTCTGTGGCCATTGTTGATTCCAAAGCCGGTGCTGGATAAACAGCGAGCGTGCGCGTGCGACAGTAGGCTGCGTTAGGCTAAATTATTTACGACAGCGGTAATGGACAATTCCGCTTCCAACCTGTAGGGCGACCGCAGAGGAAAAGTTCCTTGGTGTTGCTTTAAGGTACCACACTGGCCCCAAAAACATCTAAAAGAAATCGTTCATCCCCTCTGCAATAGCCATACTGAACAGCAGTCAGTTACTGAACACTATAGTCAGTTACTTTTATATGTCTTTGTGAATGTCTCTTTGTGACTGAAGCCTTGTCAAAGAAAATTTTCTGGAACCCTTCTGGAACAGACAATAAAGTCTTATCTTATCTTATCTATATTTTTATTTACTAACATTAACAAAGATTAATAAATACTGTAATAAATGTATTGCTCATTGTTAGTTTGTGTTAGTTAATACACTAATTTTAACAAACGAGACCTTATTTTAAAATGTTACCCTAAATGGCTTAATAAACCAATGAAATTGTGCCGTAATGAAAATATAAAAATGTATAAGTACAGAAGATTTATTATTTTAATACACACTGGTCTGTTTTACACACCGGTCTGTTATTGTAGAGACATCGACGTTCCATTTTCACACCCCTAAACATGACGCAGAACAAAAAGAACTGTGATTGGTTGCTTTACATGTCAGTCAGACGGCCTCTGGTCCTTAGCCAATGAAAGCTGTGATGGAGTCCTTCTGCCGTCAGTTTGAAGCTCTGGCTACACAAGACTATGCATTAGTTCACCGGGGAGAGATTTATTGACAGGCTGAGGGGTGGGACTTTGACTGACTGACAGCCATTAAATGTCATTAAGAGCAATTAGCAATTAATACAGAAGTTGCTAATCCCCGAAACAGCCGCACTAATGAGAGTATGACGGCACACACACACACACACACACACACACACACACACACACACACACACGCGCACACACACACACAGAGTGACTGGTGGAGACCAGGGGAAGAAACATCAGTCAATATCGATTGTGCTTTAATTTCTGCAGTCAGCCTTAGGCCTCAATCACACGCCACGTTTACAACTAAAGACACACAAACACATACATTTACACAGGAGCTTAGCAGAAACACACACTCATGTAGTGTGTCAGACTTTGTATTATGATTATTCAGTCCATTACTTACTGCCAATTTTTTTCAGAGTTCCTTGATGAATGAAAGTTTAAACAGAATTTATTTTAAATAAATCTTTTTTTTTAAAGTTTTAAATTCTTTTAAAAAATCTTACAGACCCCAAACTTTAGCACAATAGTTTAATATAATAATAGTTTTTATTTTACCATGATGTATATCTATTGTATGTATATGTATTATAGTTCAAAAGTGTGAGGTCAGTAAGATCTTTTTTTACAGTAAATTGATCAAACATGACAGTAAAGACATTTATAATGTGAAAGATTTTTATTTCAAATAAACGCTGTTCTTTTGAACTTTCTATTCATCAAAGAATCCAGAAAAAAAGGGTTTCCACAAAAATATGAAGCAGCACAACTTTTTCAACATTAATAATAATATTAAGAAATGTTTCTTGAGCATCATGATTTCTGAAGGATCATGTGACACTGAAGACTGGTAATCATGCTGAAAATTCAGCTTTGATCACAGGAATAAATGATATTTTAAAATATATTCAAATAGAAAACAGCTATTTAAAATTGTAACAATATTACTGAATATTGTTGAGCATAATCGACTTTCGACTTCTTTCAGAAACATGAAACCAATCTTGTACTGTATAGGCTATATATATATATATATATATATATATATAGCCTATACAGTACAAGATTGGTTTCATGCTATATATATATATATATATATATATATATATAGCCTATACAGTACAAGATTGGTTTCATGTTTCTGAAAGAATAGTATATATATATATAAATATATATATACCATGAAATCCATTAAATTCTGGCTGAATTTGGATACAGCATACTACTCATACTAGTTGTGATATATCTTTATATGCCAGAAATAGTAAGAGTAGTATGCTTAGCCAGTCTCTCACTTTATCACTTTTTTCTGTCTTTGTCTTCCGCTTTACCTTTCCGCTAGTTTCTGTCAGGATGGTGTGAGCGAAACAGAGGGACGAGAGGAAGAGATGATTACAGCGGTGTAACTTTGGAGAAAAAGGACAGCGAGAGGTTTCTGAAGCATTGAAGGAGATACGCGGAGAACGAGGGAGAGAGGGAGAGGATGCGAAGGGTCGATTTATCTTACATTGACAGGAGCGGCTTCAAACGATGACCTTGAGGACTAATGAGAGTAAATGAGTGAAATATTTTTCACTTTTTAAAAGTGAAACTATAATCAAATGGAAGCCTGAAAGATGGACTAATGAGCTTCAACGATGATGAAAGCGTGCGAGAGAGAGAGATACGGACTGATAGAAAGAGAGAGAGAGGGAGGTAGTCATTTGGCAGAGCCTGCAGTGTCAGGCCCTCACTCCTGCCATCTCATTAGCTGACCTGACGACTGCCTGATTAGAATACGTTTGATGAAAATTTCAAGGATTTTTTCCCCCACTCAACATTAAAACATTTTTGGTGTGATTTAATAAATATTGCACAACTTTATTTTTGAGACACAGAAACTGGGAGGTAATTAATTATGATTAAAGCCGTCTGGACCGAAGTTGACTTACCGTCATTATTCGCCCTGAAATCAACAAATATATTTAAAACACAGAGACAGCAATGGACATAGAAACGTGTTGATCACACAAGTCACACACTTGGATGTCGGACGTTATTTCACTCAACATAAACTGAATTTGTACCCTTCTAAAATGTATTTAACATCTTATTTCAAGCAGTCCAGTTTTATCCAGATGCTTCTTTCTTTGGTGTTTAATACTGGTTTTGCAAAACCGCTTTCTGTGCATAGCGCCACCAAATGGCTAAATGCTTCAATCTTAATTGTTGACAAGGGCTTGAAGCAAACATCTTGCTCAAGTGGGTCTGATATTTTGTGGTGATTCTCGTCATTCTGTGATTATGGGATGGTAACCACGAGGAACTTTGTTGCTGTCTGATTTTTGATGCTCTTTTCTGTGAAGTAATGACATGGCTTGTTCAGAAAAAAATAAATTTTAAAGTCCCATAGAATTAACCATAGAATCATTTTTTTTCTCTTTCAGATATTTCTACTTTGCCAGAAACTTCCGGCTTCCCCAACCATTTGAACCATCGGGATTGGTCTGTTATTTTGGTAATAATTTAATATATCCACCTTTAAGCAGAAAAGTAATCAATATACACTACTGTTTAAAAGTTTGAATAGTACATTTTACAAATTAATACTTTTAATCAGCAAGGATGTATTAAATTGATCGAAGGTGACAGTAAAGACATTTCTAATGTTACACAATATTTTAATTTCAAATGCATTCATAATAAGATTTTTTTCTTGAGCAGCAAATCAGCATATAAGAATCAGCATTTCTGAATGATCATGTGACACTAAAGTCTGGAGTAATGATGCTGAAAATTCAGCTTTACCATGACTGCATCTTTATAGTGATAGATAGATAGATAGGATAGATAGATAGATAGATAGATAGATAGATAGATAGATAGATAGATAGATAGATAGATAAGATAGATAGATAGATAGATAGATAGATAGATAGATAGATAGATAGATAGATAGATAGATAGATAGATAGATAGATAGATAGATAGATAAGATAGATAGATAGATAGATAGATAGATAGATAGATAGATAGATAAGATAGATAGATAGATAGATAGATAGATAGATAGATAGATAGATAGATAGATAGATAGATAGATAGATAGATAGATAGATAGATAGATAGATAAGATAGATAGATAGATAGATAGATAGATAGATAGATAGATAGATAGATAGATAAGATAAGATAGATAGATAGATAGATAGATAGATAGATAGATAGATAGATAGATAGATAGATAGATAGATATTTGCATCCATTATTGTTAACTTTCAACTAAAGTTTGATCCAGATTGTTTCATCCAGGTAGGGTGCTGTTGAGGATCAACCCTGAAAACCACAGGTTAGTCACCTCATTTTTCTTCTTTATTGCCTAAGTGTGTCTTTTTTATGTTCAAATATTGTCATTTTATGCAGTGACACTGGCTCAACCAATGGCGTGAGTTTGGGGCGAATGCGTCTGCAAACTCAGGTAGCTGACTTGTTGCTTTGCTGCCTTATCAGGCAATGACTTTGAAAGTGATGGTAACCCATACTTGGAATTCGTCCTCTGCATTTAACCCATCCACGTTACTCCCCCACCTACAGTTTTCTTGCCGGTATTGAGAATTTACCCAGCAACCTTCAGGTTACAAGTCTGACTCTCTAACCATTAGGCCACGATGCTTCGGAGGCAGCATTTCTCAGCGTTTAAGACACGAAGGTATCTTACGAAACTGATTTCAGACAGATATCTAAGGCATCGTAAGGGTTTAATGATCTACCGCAAAATAGAGAGAGCTCTGGGGATAACTAAGCAAAATATAATTAATTCAATTGTAATTTCTGGCTAGACATCACATTAGAAGTGGAAAACGTTGGTCAAAAACTTACATTTACACACAAACTGACCAACAACCGCAACTTTCAGACTCAAATTAATTTTTTATCTGTCACAGAATGGAAAGCGCAGGATTGTGGGATATCAAAGGCAGCTACGGATACATCTATGCTGCCTTCAAAAATCGATGAGATGAAGGTATTTCAGGAGACAGAAAGTGAAGCTAACTTTGGATTTGGACGTGCCTTGATGCCTTCCTACCTTGGAAAGCATTCTCCGAAAGCATTATTAAGCTTTCGGACGCATCCCAATCGTGCAGAAATGTCACGTGGCTCACTTTTAAATCTGATCTTGATCCGATTTGTCCACATCAGCATCCCTCAATCTGTTTCTGGTTCACATAAATGGTTTGTTTAACCGGCTGCTCTTCGAGAGCTCAGTAAGCACTCATTCTGTGGTCTGATTCATTTGTGCAGAGTCAATTCCCTGTGGAAGATCTAGGAGGAGCTGTTTGTTGGGCTGGAGGAACTGCCCTGTGGCGGCTCTTTGAGAGGTTAAGCTGGAGATTGTCATTGCCCAAGGTGAACTGGCTTTCAGTGGTAAACCGGGTGGAAACTAGAAAGCCGACTTCAGGTCAGTTATAAATTATAACAGCTCCATGCAGCGTCACAAAAAACAATTAATAATAGAAAATATTCTCTCTAGTTGCTGGACTTTATTTAATGAGTCCTAACCTTTGGAGAGAAGGAAATTATTTATGTATCCGGTCAAAAGTATGAATATGCAAATACAGATTGCACCCCTGGAGGACAGCACACAATGACAAACCAATGTCTATATTTTCATATTTTCGTTTGTTTTATTCATCCTCCCCTAGACACGCACGCGGAACCGCATGGAAAGCCATTACTGAAAACAGCCACAGGTGGTGACGGCTAATGCGCAACTTCCCAGCCAATCCGAACCATTCGTTGCCTTTTGCTTTTTTCATCCACATCTATAAGTCGTAATTAAAATCAGCTTTGCATAAAAAATAGTTTCCCTGCGTGAGACGAGGTTGAAGTTAAAACGTGACCCTTTCTGGCCCGAGAGGACGTACGTTGTAATGAACAAACTGTCTGAAACGAATACATCCAGCAGCCTACGTTTACATCCACCGACACCGACGCTTCTACAAACACGTACTTGCTGTTTATTAATTCATTTGCAGGAAGAAAAATTCTCTCTTTGCTCTCTGGCTGCGGAGTTAAATACTCGGCCTTGAGAAATCAGACCATCAGCCTCTGAGCTACAGCAGCTGCAACTAAATTAGTATGCCATTAGCATGTTTTATTTCTTTAGGTGAGGAATTACATTTGAATATTAATTTGACTGCATGTTTAAAGGCAGTGCTTACCGGATCTCCATAAATTAGCTTTAATATGTGGATTAGCCCCTTAGCATCATACGCCAGTGCAAGGCAAGAGACAAGACTATCGTCTGAAGTGAGTGTGTTTTTCTGTCTCGGATCGCCACGAGCGCGACGTCGGGATCATGACCCGTCAGGCCTTGCGCCCCTAAAGCCATGTATGATCGTAACACAACACGGTCTGTGTAGCGGTTATGTCACTGATAGCAACAGCATTCAAAGCGCTGCTATGGCTTGAATACTGTCACAGCTTCAACATGTCAGAGTATTTCAAGTAGGCATAAATGTTTTTACATACTATATTCCCAAAGCAGTAAAAATACTATATTACTATATTATAGGGAGTATAATATATTCCCTATTGCATTAGAAAAGTGACAATAATGGCAACAGAACATTAAATGTTAATGTTAATTAAATTTCGGTCTTATTTTGGATACTAATATAGTTTTTATTAATATTTTGACATTTTTTATATTTTCTATTTCCATTTTCATTTTAGTTAAGGTTTTAGTAATTTTGTTGTTGTGTTTTCTTGTCATTTTAGTAGGTTTTCTATGTCTATATTCATTTTTATTTTAGTGCATCAAGTTAAACTAAATTAAAATGAGAAAAATTGTTTTGGAAATTAGATGAAATAAATTAAGTTTTAAGTTTTTTTTATTTAATTTAATTGAGTTTTAGTTAACTGTAACAACCTTGGTTTATATTAATTTGATATTTTTTCATTCTATTTCGTGTTGTGACTACAAACTGATTCAGAGCTGATCTGAACTGATGTGCAAGTGGAAAAACATCATTATGTTTGTACAGTAACATGATTTATTCTTCTGTTGAACTCAAAATAACATATTTTGAAATTAAGACTCAGTGGGCTCCAAACAACATTGAAGCATTTTTCAAAACTTATTTTGTGCTCCACGGGAGAAAGAAAGGCAAACAGGCTTGAAACAACATTAGAAGTACCTATAAGTTATGAACTATCCCTTTAAGAATTTAAATCGATTGACAGCACTAATAAAAATAAAATAAATGTAAACAAATAAAAAAGCGGATAAAGTGAAATAAACTGGACGTTAAAAATTCTTTATTATTTTGTTGTGCAGACAACTCTTGCATATAGTGATCAAAGCGATTGGTTTCTGTGGGGCGAGCAGCTCAAAAATTAATTTGGCTGCAACAGATGCACAACAAGCATTTGATGATTTATCTGATAAAATGGAAAAATGTGGAACAAGGATTGTTTTTTAAAAGTATCTGTCTCTTATTTTTCTAAACTTGTCATGTACATGTTTCCTCCAAAGACACACATACACCCCAACACATCTGTGAAAGTGCGCGTCATTTCATTCTGTTTTAAGCGTTATATTTGTGTTGTGATAAACTTCTTCAAGAGAGCAGACACCATATTCATAAGCTTTGTATATTCTGCATAAGCATAAGCTGGTTAAGTATATTGCATAAGCTGGATATTCTTCAAATATTAAACAATCAGCATTTTAGCAATGTATTGCATATAAACAAACACTTCATAATGTGCATACAGAATAAAATTCTGTTTTGTGCATAAGTTAAGTTTTTATCCATATGTGTTAGCTTTGGTATAATTTGTTTGCTGTCTAAAATAAGAATGTCTCTTAGCAAGACTCTTATTATCTAATAGAGGCAAATGGCTTTAATGTGAACTAAAGGCTTTAAAAAGCCTTTTACGTGCACTTTTAAAAATAAAGGTTCTATATTGGCATCTATTGTTCCATAAAGAACCTTTCATAAAGTGGAAAACGTTCTTCAGATTATTAAGATGTTCTTCACACTAGGAAAACAATGGTTATTTTAAGAAATGTTGACTGAAAGGTTCTTTGTGGAACCAAAAATGGTTCTTCTATATGGCATCGATGAAAACCCCCTTTTGGAACCTTTTTAAGAGTGTGTTCCACTCCAACTATTGAAATACGTCAATACAGAATAATGTAAGTAACTATCAGTAATCACGGCACCCATCAGCATGCTGAAAACCATTTACTTGATCTGAAGGGATCACTGTGGTCAAAGGACGAGACAACAAGTGGTAATAGCTTTAAAGGAAGGTATAATTGGTTATAAAGAAAACAGCACAAGAGAGAGGGAGATGAAGAGCGGCAGACAGTAGAGGGAGAGCTGAACTAAGGGATCGGAGATATGTCTGGATGAGTGTGTTAGAACCGAGGCCTGAGGCCATTCTGTGAGCGAGAACCATAACCTGCCTAAGGGAAGAGGGACTAGCCTCTGCTAACACAGGTGAGCGCATGCAGTTTTAATACAGCTGTTGTAAACATCATTATACACCCTTAGCACAGGCTTCACATGTATTTACAGGGCGCTAAATAGCATCTTTCGTGAGGCCTTGTGAAGGGCTCATGATATTGACTTTTTGTGTGACTTATGATAACTTAAAATCTGTATTTATAGAGCAACATGCATGTGCTAGTTTCAGGTTTTAGTTTCCAGCATGCAAATGTTTAAAATTATGTAAAGACTGATAGTTAAAGGGATATTTCACCCAAAAATGACAATTCTGTCATAATGTGCACCCTCATGTTGTTCCAAACCTGTATGATTTGAGGGTGAGTAAATGATGACAGAATTTTCATTTTTGGGTGAACTATCCCTTTAATGCACTTTGGCACATGTTTTTCTTTCCTGTGTTAATGTATGTCCTGTTAAAACAAGAAGTTTGGTTGGAACATGTGGAAGAGCCCTTTTTAAAACTTGCCATAGCTATTTGCAAAGCTTTACCGGAGCTCAAACTGTAGAGCATGCTTGCAACACCAAGAGCATGGGTTCAATTCCCAGGGAATCTGGTTTTAGTTTTCGTCATGCAAATGTGTAAAATTATGTAAAAACTGATAGTTAAGCTCTTTTGCAAAGTGATTATCATTAAAATGATTATGTAGAGAGTGAAAATAGTCACAAATTAATCAACTGTTGACATATAGTAGTGCAGAGCTAAAGGCTTAGATAATTTTGCGAAAGTTTGTTCATGTTGAGATGTCTGACTTTTGATTGCACAGTTGTTATCTTGCTAAATTTGTTAGACACAATGTGTGACATTGAGAAACTTGTTTTGAATTAGCTTTCGGTTTTATTTTTTTACATTTTAATTATAGTTTAGCTTTTAGTAAGTTTGTTATGTGCTTTTTATTATTTTAACTATGTCTATATAAAGCTTTAATTTAATTTAATTTTTAGTCATTTTAGTTGCCAAGCCATATACAGTATCTCACGAAAGTGAGTACACCCCTCACATTTCAACAAACATTTTAGTATATCTTCTCAAGGGACAATCCTATAGAAATGAAACTTGGATATATTTTAGAGTAGTCAATGTGTTGCTTGTATAGCAGTATATTTTTACTGTCCTCTGAAAATAACTCAAGACATTATTGTCAAAATAGCTGGCAACAAAAGTGAGTACACCCTAAAGGTGATGATACACAGGTCAACTTTTTGAGTAATGTTGCTGGGCAATGTTGCCATCAACGGGCAACCAGATGAGACACAGGGCCCACGACTGATCTAAATTATCCAGATAGAAATGTATTGCCCAATTTCAATGGGAAAGTACCCAAGCAACAATCGCTCTGCAAGATTGCGCAGCAACATTGCTCAAAAAGTTGCCCTGTGTATCATCACCTTTAGTGATAATAGCTGTATGTCGTTTAACCATGTCCTATTCATCATATTCATGTTTTTGTCTGCTTGACAGGACCATACAAATTTGTGTATCTTGTAGAGCAGTTAAAATACAATTCTCTCATACTGACCACTGGATGTTCAACATGGCACCTAATGGCAAAGAACTCTAAGGATTTGAGAATTAGAATTGTTGCCTTCCACAAAGTTGACCTAGGCTATAAGAAGATTGGTAACACCCTGAAACCGAGTTACAGTGCAGTGGCCAGGGTCATACAGAGGTTTTTCAAGACGGGTTCCAGTCGTAACCGGCCCCGCAAGGGTCAATCAAAGAAGTTGAGTCCTCGTGCTGTGCGTCAGGTGCAGAAGCTGGCTTCAAAAAACAGACGCATGATCGTGCCTGCATTGCTTTAGAGGTTACAGAAGCCGAAGGTCAGCTTGTCAGTGCTCAGACCATACGCCGCACACTGCAACAAGTCGGTTTGCATGACCATCGTCCCAGAAGGAAGCCTCTTTTGAAGCTGGCTCACAAGAAAGCCCGCGATCAGTTTGCTGAAAGCAACCTGTCCAAATGCATGAATTACTGGTCCTGTGGCCTAATGAGACTAAGATGAACTTGTTTGGCTCAGATGGTGTCCAGCATGTGTGGCGATGCCCTGGTGAGGAGTACCAAGAAAATTGTGTCTTGCCCACAGTCAACATGGTGGTGGTATAGCATCATGGTCTGGGGCTGCATGAGTGCTGCTGGTACTGGGGAGCTGCGCTTCATTGAGGAAACATGGATTCCAACATGTACTGTGACATTCTGAAGCAGAACATAATGCCCTCCCTTCAAAAACTGGGCCGAACGACGTGATAACGACCCCAAACACACCACCAAGATGACAACTGCCTTGCTGAGGAAGCTGAAGGTGAAGGTGATGGAGTGGCTAAGTATGTCTCCAGACCTGAACCCTATTGAGCACCTGTGGGGCGTCCTCAAGCAGAAGGTGGAGAAGCGCCATGTGTCTAACATCCAGCAGCTCCATGATGTCAGTATGGGGGAGTGGAAGAGGATCCCAGCAACAACCTGTGCAGCTCTGGTGAACGAACTCCATGCCTAGATTAAGCCAGTGCTAGATAAAAATGGTGCTCACACAAAATATTGACACTTTGGACACAGTTTTGACATGTTCACTTTGGGTGTACTCACTTTTGTTGCCAGCTATTTTGACAATAATGTCTGTATGTTGAGTTAATTTTAGAGGACAGTAAATATATACTGCTATACAAGCAGCACAATGACTACTCTAAAATCTATCCAAGTTTCATTTCTATAGTATTGTCCCTTGAGAAGATATACTAAAATGTTTGCTGAAATGTGAGAGGTTTTGTGAGATATACTGTATAAATTAGGTTTTTCACTGTTATTTATATTTTATTTCTACTTTATTTCAATTACCAAAAAAGGTTAATAGTTTTAACAATACCAACACTGCTCTCCAAATGCTCTCTATTGAATTTAATTGCTGTGTAATAGAAACAGCTGGGATATTACAGAGATCACATGAAATTCACACTATGACATCTGTTAGTTGATATGGTTATGTGGCTCATGAATGCATGTTTCTCCGCAGGATGAGCTCTGGGGCTTGGGTTATGTTGTGGTTGAGCTGGTAAACCCATGAGGTGAGCAGATCCTAACCCCGCACATGCACGAGAGACGCTTGTTTATCTACCGATTCATCTGTGAGCCTTGAGAGAGCGTTATTTGAGAACATCGCTGGATTGTGATCTGAAGCAGGTAGTTTTTATGAGATAAACACAGGATTTCCTCAATCCCAACAGGGCTGATTTCAAGCATATTTTTGACTGTCGATTACAGACATCTTAAATATTGATGGGCAATCCAACAGTAAAGTGTGTCCCTGAGGAAATCTAAGCTCTTGTATAAAGGCCTAAAGCAATTTTTTAATTCACAACTTGATTTTCTTCCTGTTTTTAGTCAGACTGTCTATGAAATCTCCCCTACACCACAATGTTTGCTTGCTTTACAGGAAACCTCAGGCACAAACATACTATAGATTGGAAAAAAATAGATTTTTAGTAAATCCATCCAATATACACATGCACTCATTATTTAGTTATTAGTGGGACTTGTTTAGACTAGCATCTGTTGCTCCTAATCAGGTTAAGTGATTTAAACAACCTCCAAAATGTGTTCCTAAAGCCTGTTTTATGCTTCTGCGTCGAATCGACGGCATACCCCTGCAGACCTCTCTGCGTCGCCGCGAACCCCTCTCCGACCCCTCCGCCGTAGCTCGACGTGCACCTCCAAAAAATTGTAACTACGCGTCGAGGCGACTCAGACCACAAGGGCTGTGATTGGTCAGATTATACATCATTTCGGGAGTGTAGCTTTTCCGGTTTCCCCCTCCCGCTATAGTGCCATTTATAAAGTGACCACTGCACTGTTTGTTTCAACGATATCAAGTTGAGGAACGTTTGATTCTTCTGCGATTAAACATTTGCAATGAAATCATTTGTTGTTCAAAATCGATTAGCTCCAGCTGCAACAGCATTCTCTCTCTTTCGGTCGCCATTAGGTGCGTTTCCATTACAGATTTGCGCAAAACTTTTGCGATGTTTTCTATATGTCGATAAAAAACTATTGCGAAATGACGGCGTTTCCATTAACCGATGTTATGCGACTAAAACGTCTTTTTTTTCCTCTCGCGATAAGCCATTCCAAAAAATCATGGTAACGGACGTTGGAAGGTTTAACTTTATAGCCTATAGCCACCGCACTAGACATTATTATTATTAATGGAAGGAGACGTGGTGTGTTATCCAAGCATTGATGGCAGGGAAATACACGGAATTCTCCCTCATTTCTGCTCCGAGGTCTTGATTGTGGAATTTCTTTGAGGTTTAGAGTCCAGTAGGCTATTCCTGTAATTATTGTTTCTTTTATGAATTTAATAAAGAACGAATCGGTTACCTAACGTAACCTCGGTTCTCTCTAGATGAGGGAACGAGTATTGCGTAAGCTAGCTTACGCTACGGGAAAGATTAATCTTTTCTGAGAAATTGAAGCCAAAAAATTATCCTATAATTTTGTATCCATTGTCAACGCAGTTCAGCTGCAGCAGACCATGAGCGGGCTAGCTAGCAGCTCATTGGTTCGCTCACAGAGAACTGCTTAAGCCTATGAGGAGACGCGAATTAACTCTCGGCCAATGAGAGTCTGACATGCTCTCATTGCGTCAGAGCCCGCCGAAACGGGCGTGGTCAGAGAGTATAAATATTGGCGTCCTAGGCTGTAAACTCTGGTTTTCATAGAATGAAGTGAGAACGCTAGTAGCACAAGCACGGCCAGGAACGCAATGCTCAATCCCTCATCTAGAGAGAACCGAGGTTATGTTAGGTAACCGATTCGTTCTCTTACGAGAGATTCTCTCGTATTGCGTAAGCTAGCTTACACTACGGGAACACCTGGTCAACGCCGTGCGTGCTAAGCATCCACTATGAGTCCCAGGGGAGACCCCAGGGAACCCTTATGAGTGGGAATAAATATATGTACATGTGACAAAGGCCAGCAGAGCGGGCCGGAGATTGTGTAGTACATAAGCACATGATAGAGAGGGACAGAGCGAAACCGGTCTGTGTGAATAACTCCCTATAGTGCAGCTCAACCAGAAGAGCTGTAACATACTAGACTGCTAGTAGTTTAGCCTGCAAGGCGGGAACTTCCAGATTGTAAAATCTGACAAAGGTGGAGGGGGAAGCCCATCCCGCTGCCACACAAAGGTCATGAATGGAAATTCCGCTGGACCATGCCAACGATGAGGCCATGCCTCTAGTGGAATGAGCCCTGATGCCCAGAGGGCATGGCAGGTCTTTTGATGCGTATGCGGCTGCAATGGCATCAACTATCCATTTGGATAGAGTCTGTTTCGAGGCGGCCAACCCTTTGGTGCGCCCACCGAACGAAACAAAAAGCTGCTCGGATCGTCTGACCGGAGCAGTGCGAGTAATGTATAATCTCAGGGCCCTGACCGGACACAGGAGATTAGAGTCAGATTCGCTATCGGATCCAGGCAGAGCCGATAGGGAAATAACTTGTGCCCTGAACGGGGTACCAATCGCTTTTGGGACATAACCATGTCTAGGTTTGAGAACGACTAAGGAGTCATTGGGCCCAAACTCGAGACAGGAAGCGCTAATGGACAGCGCGTGAAGGTCTCCCACACGTTTTACTGGCGCGAGCAGAAAAACGGTTTTGAGCGAAAGGTATTTGAGGTCCACGGTGTTTAGCGGTTCGAATGGGGGGGCTTTCATAGCTTCGAGAACTATGGAAAGGTCCCGAATCGGCACCAAAGGGGGGCGTGGGGGGTTCATCCTTCTAGCTCCCCTGAGGAAGCGGATGACCAAGCCATCTTTGCCCAGTGACTGGCCGCGCCGGGGTTCAACGAACGCTGCGACGGCTGCCACATACACCTTGAGAGTGGACGGGGACCTGCCCTTGTCCAACATCTCTTGGAGAAAAACTAGCAAGGAAGGAACCTCGCATGACCGTGGGTCCAAATATCTGTCGGTGCACCATTTAGAGAACACAGACCATTTAGACGCATAGAGCCTTCTAGTAGAAGCCGCTCTAGCCTGCATGATCGTGTTTAACACTCCCTCAACGGGTAGTTGTTGAACACCCACGCATGTAGCGCCCAGCGCTCTGGGTGGGGATGCCAGATCGTGCCGCAAGCTTGGGAGAGGAGATCTGCTCTGACTGGAATGGGCCACGGGGCTGTCTGTGACAGCTGAGTGAGCTCCGGAAACCAAGTCTGACCCTCCCAACGCGGGGCTATGAGGAGCAATGAGTGGCGTGTTTCCCTGATTCTCTGAAGCACCTGTGGTAGCATGCGCAGTAACCCCAGCTGGAGCACCGCGGAGGCTGAGGCCATGTAACCCAACGCCTTCTGAAAAGTTTTCAGAGGTGTGAGTCTGTTCATCTGAAAAGATGCGGCGAGACGCTGAACACGGCGCGCCCGCTGTGTTGACAGACGAGCCGTCATCGTGACCGAGTCTAGCTCTATACCCAAGAAGGAGATAGTCTGACTGGGTTGTAGTGCGCTCTTTGTCCAGTTGACAGAGAGGCCCAAAGCTTTCAGATGGTCGAGGAGAACTGTACGATGAGACAGTAGCTCTCTCTGTGATTGTGCCAAAATCAGCCAGTTGTCCAAATAGTTCAGTATTCGCAGCCCCTGACTCCGCAGGGGGGCGAGCGCCGCATCCATGCACTTCGTGAACGTACGGGGTGCTAAGGATAGGCCGAACGGAAGGACGGTGTATTGATAAACCTGGCCTTCGAAGGCGAAACGTAAGAATGGCCTGTGAAGGGGATTTATCTGAATCTGAAAGTAAGCATCTTTCAGATCTAGTGAAATGAACCAGTCCCCCTGGCGCACATGCGCAAGGAGTTTTCTGATAGTGAGCATTTTGAACGGTCTCTTCCTGAGAACTTTGTTCAGAAATCTGAGGTCTAAGATTGGTCTGAGGCCGCCGTCTTTCTTGGGAACCAGAAAATAACGGCCGTGAAACCCCGACTCGCTCATAGACAGAGGAACTCTCTTTATAGCCCTTTTGCACAATAGCTTTGCTATCTCTGAATGGAACAGCGTCACTGCTTCTGGGTTCACAATAGTTTCTAGCCGCGCTCGAAAACGTGGAGGGGGGCGGTGAAACTGTAAGCGATAGCCTAGCCTTATTGTGTTTAGCACCCACTGGGAAATTCCCGGAATAGCTTCCCACGCTTTGAAGCGTAACGCTAGGGGGTGAATGGCTACATGGTCCCCGTCGCTGCACATAGCGGGCTGTGTGAGCGCGCTCATAGTGTTTATGACAGCGGGACTTACACTCAGAGAGGAGTTTATGGGCCGTGTAACAGAGTGAGCAGAGGTGGGACGCGCACACGGGCTCGTGGAACTCGAGCGGGTTGGAACCGCTTTATGAGAGTGGACTCTGTGTGAGACACGGGAACTGAAGTGCTTTTGTGTATGAGTGAACACAGTGTTGTGGGCACATTTTCTACACAGGAGGCTTTTATGCTCTTTATGAGATTTCTCTGGGTCGCCGTGAAAACGGCGTTTGCGCTCATGCAAGCGGGAAGGGGGACCGGCTTGGTAATGGCGGAGTACACTGCTGTAGTAGCCGCGTGAGCGGGGACTAACAGAGGGCGTAACTTTGACGGCGGTCCGGCCGCGGCGGGGGAGCGCCATCTTTTTCTCAGCTGTGCTTGGCAGACTTTGAGTGATCAGGTTTCAGCGCGATCCTAGGCCGAGGCCCCCGAGGAGGCGGCGGTCTGTGGCGGATGTCAGAGCGAGAACGAGGGCGGCCGCCCTGGCGTCGCTGAGAAGTCTGACTGTGCTGAGCTGGGCACTGGGGTGGGGCTCGTGCAGGAGGCTGGTCACGTGAGCGGCCTGCAGAGGAGCTAGCGCGACGAGGCAGAAAGAGATTCATGGCCTGGGAGGCTTTCTGCACTTCGGAAAATCGGTCGACGATACCCGTGACAGCAGATCCGAAGAGGCCGGATGGAGAGAGCGGGGCGTTGAGAAAGGCGGCGCGCTCAGAATCTCCCATGTCGGCGAGTGTGAGCCACAAATGTCTCTCAGACACACAAATGGCGGCCATGCATTTCCCCAGGGCTTGAGCAGCAGATTTTGTAGCGCGAAGGGCAATGTCCGTGGCGCTCCTCAAATCCGCGACTGGAGGGGGATTTTTTCCGCTCTTGTCCCATTTACGAAGTATGTCACCCTGTAGTATCTGAAGGACGGACATGGAGTGAAGTGCAGAGGCTGCTTGGCCGGCGGCTGAGTAAGCGCGGGCGTGAAAGCTTGAAGTCGCTCTGCAGGCTTTAGAGGGAAGCACAGGTGATGAGTGCCATCTCGCGGAGGGCGGGCATAGATGTGCGGTGACCAGGTCCTCTACAGGGGGAATGGAGAGATAGCCCTTCTCTGCGGCTCCGTCCACAACGCGAAGCGGGGTGGAAGAGTCAGAGCGAGTTCTAGCAGAGAGCGGGGCGTTCCAGGACTTCGTGAGTTCCGCGTGCCATTCAGGCAGGAAGGGCGCGGCCCGTTTAGTGGCGGGAGTCGAGCGCTGGCGAAAGTAGCTGCCGTCCATACGGTTGATGGTCTGCTCGGGGGGAGGGGACCAATCGAGCCCGAGGCGTTCGACGGCCTGTGAGAGGAGGCGCACTAATTCCACCTCGATTCCAGCGCGGGTCCCGGCGGATTCTCGGGCCGAGGAGGCGTGAGAACCGGACCATTCCTCACTGTCTGAGGCGAGAAGCGAACATGTCTCCTTGATGTCCGCGGTGTCATCGGAGGCGACAGAGCGGCCACTCGGCGGCAACTGAATGTCCGGAAGCGGCGGAGAAGGAGAGAGGGAGGCGACAGGCTCCGGCGGGATGAACGCTTCTGGCTGGGGTTCCGGCGGCCTCTGAGAGCGGCGTTTCTTCTTCCGCAGCGAAGTCAGAGGCGGCGCGGAAGCAAATTTAGTGGCCTGAAGTCGAGGCTGCAGGGTCGACAATGGCATGTCTTCGCAGAGATCGCAGGCGCCATCGGCGAGGGCGAGCTCGGCGTGCTCCAATCCGAGGCAGAGAGCGCAGATGACGTGGTGGTCTCCATCCTCGGGGGGAGCACGGCAAGAACCGCAGGAAGATTTACGAGACATCTTGAAAAAGACGCTCGGCTCTTTTAGATACAAAATGTACAGGAAGCTTTTTGTAAAAAGGATACAAATCCATCGGATGGCGCTAGCTCGCAGGACGGCTGAAAGTGGCGAAGACGGCCGGCTTCCTCAGTCTCCTAGATGTTCGCTAGAGTTGCCTTTTCGACGACGGCGGCTTCACTCAGGATCAGCAGATGCGTGTAGCCTCGCTGAAGAGATGAAAATCAGAGTTTACAGCCCAGGACGGCAATATTTATACTCTCTGACCACGCCCGTTTCGGCGGGCTCTGACGCAATGAGAGCATGTCAGACTCTCATTGGCCGAGAGTTCATTCGCATCTCCTCATAGGCTTAAGCAGTTCTCTGTGAGCGAACCAATGAGCTGCTAGCTAGCCCGCTCATGGTCTGCTGCAGCTGAACTGCGTTGACAATGGATACAAAATTATAGGATAATTTTTTGGCTTCAATTTCTCAGAAAAGATGAATCTTTCCCGTAGCGTAAGCTAGCTTACGCAATACGAGAGAACCTCTCGTAAGAGAACTCTGTCTCGTATTAATTCCAAACGGCCAGTGTAGCCTACTTGTGTCCATTCGTTTTCCCTTATTTAACCCGTAATTGCAAAACGAAAAATGAACGGTTGTTGTATTTTTAAAACGCAAAGTTGAACACCAAAATTTTAATTTGAACTGTACACCAAATGCTGCAAAAAAAAAAAAAAAAAATATCGACGAATTTTAAGATATTTGTTTATGATTTTTTGCCCCTTTATTAAACATTTAAAATATTCACAAATTAATATGGAAAACAATTCGATTTTACTGGTTTTCTAAGGCCAAATTAGAACCTGGAAATTATATTTTTCCCGCAGTGCTGAACGAGAAGACCATACCACAGGCTACAGAAAGGTGATTTATAGGTGAGTTATAGGCTATAATAAATGTGTCTGAAAAAATAACGAGGCATTTTAATTGTTTATTAATAATATTGTTTTCTAAATCAATGTCGGCTAAAAACATATCTCCATCTCCGGATGCACCTTTACAGAGAAATGCACTTTTCATATGGATAATATGAATCAGAAGGTATTAGCTTTCGATTAGAATTTGTTCGTTTTAAAGTGGACATTTCAAGCTTTAGCCTTTTGTTTCAGTTCTCGCGCTTCAGTTCACGGAGACCATGAAATGCAAGTGTTCGCGCCCGCGCGTCCCTGCCATGCACACTCCACACTCGCACAAACACTTGGATATACGTCAAAATCTTGTGTTAATCTTGTGTTTATATGTGATAATCTTAGCCCCGTATTATTATTGTCCAACCTGTATGAGATGTGACGAATTGCTTTGTTCCTTTTTTGGATAAAAGCGTCTTCTACATAGCCTAATAAATGTTATAATAATGATGAGAATTATTATTATTATTTGCGGACACGGACCCCAAACACACCGCGTCTTCTAAGTCAGGTGACTGTAAATGCGCAAAACCTGTTTCCATTGCAGTTTTGCGAAATATTCCTTTTTCGAATTGCCTGAAAAACTTCCTCATGCGAGCGTAAAATCTTTTTTGCGATAAACGGGAGTTGGAATGGAGCGAAATGGACAAAATGGATGTGGTTCCATTGTGCGTATTTTCAATTCGCAATTTCAATTTGCGCAATTTGAAGGGTAATGGAAACGAAAGCGGAACCGGCGCACGGAACCAAAACAAACAAAGAGATTTGCGAAGCACACAGCCCCCTAGCGTTCTGGCGGTGAAATGCACCGCGATGCAACGCAACCTGACGCAGAACCATAAAACGGCCACAACGCTGTAGGAGTGACGGCGTAGCTACGCCGTGGAGTTGACGCAGAAGCATAATGAGGCCTTAAATGTTAAAGTATACCTGAAGTGTTAACACAATGGCTTTTACATTTACAGAAATGCACAATGGAACCATTTGTGTATATATGCAACAGACAGAATTGATTTCTTAAATTATTTGCTTTTACTTTTCTAAGTGATTTTTGCCTGGTGAACAATAAAACAGGTGAAACATTGCATAGACTCGCATTGATAGAGGGACCTGAGACATATGTAAAAACTAGAATATCATTAAGTGCTTTAATAAATTTGTCAGCATTTTTCTACTTTGTAGGTCATTTGTTCATTTGTAAACAAGGCATGGTTTTAAAATGATTATCAACACTGAGGAAAGAAATGTTGTAAAATTGGACAGTTGCTGAACAAAATAGCGTCTCTCCATCTGAGCAGATAAATTATAGAATGCAGCAAAATTTCTCTTTTTTATCAATATGTATAAAAGCAAGTTGTTGCGTCGGTTAATATGTGGTATATTTTGGGCATTTTTACTGTGAAAGTTTAGTTATCGAGACTTAAAGAGATGACAAATTTTGTTATCGTATACTTTTATGTGTTCCAAATCTGTATAAAGACTTTCTTCTGAGAAACAACCCCCTTTGATTTCTATCGTAGGGAAATTTTTCAAAACATTATGTTCCAAAGAAGAAAGAAAGTCATACAGGTTTGAAATGAGTAAGTAAATGATCCCTGAGTGTTAATGTTTGAGTGAACTATCCCTTTAAGTGACTTAGCAACCATTCAGAACACAGCTCAGTTTTGTTTGGCCAAGCACAACTCCCATTTTCCTCCGGAAATGTAATAAAACCCTGTAATGCTGGCATTTTTATGCACTGTATAAAGCGTGAGATATCAGACATTCAGATGCTGCGATTGTGGAGTCAAGGTCTGAACCCTCCCTCGACAGACGCTCGCTCTGCATATGCCATTATCATAATGAGCACACACGCATAATTTATAATTTCTTTAACTAATTAACAAGACCACAAATAATAATATGAATAATAAATAGCTGGTTTGAATTTAAAATCTTGATGCACAGCTCCGTTTTTTCTTTTGCTTTGACTTTTTCTGTTTTTTCAGGAATTGTTTGCCTTTTTTTGGTCCCATCCACCAAAATGTGCCCACACATTCACCTTTATGTGCTGTATTGCACTGTTCTCTCCTGCATGTAAGATTTATTCTCACATGTATCTTTAATTCCTCCATCAGAGCGGAGTGCTGTTTGAGTTGAGAGGGAGGCAGGCGGCTCAAAGCAGACGTGTCAAACCAAAGTAACAACCTTAAAAAACGATTTCTCATCAAATTAGGCTGCAGTCCCGTGTCCCACGGTACCTCAAATAAAAAGCAACCATCAATTATGGATATGGCTCTCCTTCCAGACTAGAGTTATATATATAAGTGTGTGTGTGTGTGTGTGTGTGTGGGCAGCATTTAGAGTCTCTCACTCATATTAGCTGCAGCTCCTCCCAGGTGTGCTGCTGAACATTTAATGACGTCCTCAGGGCAAAACACTTAAGGGTTAACCAGTCCGCAACAGCCCAGAAACACTCTCTCTCACACACACACACACACACACACACACACACACACACACACACACACACACACACACACACACACACACACACACACACACACACACACACACACACACACACACAAACTCCCTTAGACACAAATTGACCCCTCTAGCTTCCTTGGGTCAGTTTTCCCTGGATTGAATATACGTAGGAAATTCAGTTAGGCAGTTTCAACCGATTCTTCTCAACCACAGTCTCCATAACTGAGGCCTTCATGTATAAATCAAGAAGGTTATTTTCAGATACTGCTGTTTATTCTGATCATATTCATAGCTAGTTATCCACGTAAATTTGCAAATTGACAAATAAACACTGCGATTAGCTGTGTGGAAAACAGAAAGTTTCCTATATTAAGTGCATTTTTTGTCTTAATAAACTGGATAAAATATAAAAAATCACAATTTCACAATAAATCATATTATATGTTGATGACATAGTCATGAATTTAAAATTATTTCACTATTTCTAAAATTACATTGTGTATGTGTTTCTTCTTGTTTCTTTCTTTAATCAAAACAAGCAAAACCTATATTTTTTTATAGTTATGTTTTATGTTTTAATTCATGTTGTTTCTGTCCTCAAGATAACACGTTTCATTCTGTTGTCTCTTTCCAGTCTTGTAAAACCCTTTTAACAAACAAAAGCCAGTTCCTGTGTAATGTCATCCTACAGGAAGTGACATCATTTTGGAGGGAAATCAACAGCAGCGCAAAAATCGGTGAGTATTTAGCGGTGGATTTGATGAATTCTGTGATGTTTTTTGGTGTTAGTTGGTTTATTTAGCTTGCAATAGTATTTGATACCATCTAAAGATGGTTAAAAAATCTAAATGATTAGGTTGACATGTATAACGGGCGCCAGCTAGTAAGAGCCTTTTGTGAAAAATGGCTTTTATTTAGTTAACATAATTATATTAGTCAAGTTATAGGGGTGAATTCAGAATGATTGGGGCACTTTTTTTGGCAAAAAGTGTCTCAATCAACCTGAATTCACATTAGTTAAAGTTTACAAGCATAACAGGACACTCAAATAATACTGCTTAATTTACTTTGTTAAAATGAGCTAAATCAACACAAGTTCTGAACATTTTGTCATAAGTTGTGAACATAATTTCATTACGTTTATTTGTAAAATGGATCAGGAGAATACATTTTAATAATTAATTTAAATTATAATATAATTAATTTATAAATTTAAGCTATAAAGTGTTATTTTATGTGTTTTGGAGTAAAACTAAAGGCTTGTCAGTGATTAATGTTCAATCTCTAATTCTCTGTTATGAGTTTTTATGGCTACTCATCCCATGCATTTCATATATTAAGTAAAAGTTTAACATGTTTAAATTGTTTAATGCGCCATTGGTACCTAGTAGTAAATTAAAATAATTTAATTTGGATTTTTATTATGTTTACTTAATTTAGTACTACACAAGATATTTAAACAAAACATTTGTTTAAATTGTACAAAACTGTGAAAAGTTCCTCAAATTTAATTTGATTAGCCCCTAACCAATTTTTATTTATTTAATTATTATTATTATTATTATTATTTTTTTTATTTTTTTTTTTATAGAATGGCCCAACTGGTTTAGATGTGCAGTGCTAGTCTGTTACTGGCACAAGCTGGTTAAGATGGTTGTTGTTGCAAGTAGCAGGCCTACATAACGTAATTTAACTGGTCGTTTAAGCTGGTCACTAGCAGGTGTTACTCAGCCGAGTGAAGCATTACAGTAGTTGATAAGACGCTGATTCTCTTAGACATAAACAGACCATACAAGCTGATCTTAGTCTCTGTCGTGCATTTTTTAAACTTCACCAGTTTTCAGGTTTTTATAAACATCTGCATCAGAGGTCCCTTGAGGGCAGGGATGTCCAGGAAAGACCAGAACACACACATTCACACACACACTCCGCTTGGCGTGGCCGCCCCCCTTTCCATGCTTCCTTCCGCCTGAGTTTCCATAGCAGCATGCAACGGCCAATCAGATTGCAGGGCCGTAGCGCAGACTGGCAGATTTGAGCGCCTGACGCTGACACGGCCCGTCACCGTGGAAACCCCCCCAGGCACTGTAGCAGTGGGGGTGTGGGGGGGATGTGAGTGTGTGTGTTGTCTGGGTGAGCTGGATGCTAAATGGCCTGCTGTCTGTCAGAGCGTTCCCATCATCCTTTGCACGAGTTCAGTGTTTTTAGTGTCACGATGAGCGTCTGAGTGACATTTCACATAGTGAACAATATTTATGTAAGTAGTTCTGAATCATTCTGTAAATGTGTCTCGACGTGTGTATTTGATGCATTGGTGAATCTTATGAAACCTGTCGATATCTTGTCTAGCTCATGTTTCACACCCCAAAATACAAAGAAATTTAGAGAATAAAAATCATTTTCTTATTTTAAGGACCATTCAGGTCAATATTTTCATGAGGGCTAAACATTTTCCATAATGCAAAAATATATATTTTTAATGATCATACTACAGTATTTTGGACTGTAATACCGTAAACAATAACAGAATATAATTAGAACCTAATGACAATCATCATGAGAATAATGGGAATTACAAAATAATAAAAATAAACAAAAATGCAAAACATTTTCAAATTATGGAATTGGGAATTTGGTAATTAAAATATGAAGCCTATTTAATTTCTGGGAACATTAAGGATATTTTCTCTCTAAATTTGTATTACTATGATGCAAAAAATGTAATTCTCATTACTGTAATTTTGAAAGATATGTATATATATATGTGTGTGTGTGTGTGTGAGAGAGAGTGTGTGTGTTTGTTGGTGTGTGTGCATGCATGCGTGTGTGTGTGTGTGTGTGTGTGTGTGTGTGTGTTGCCCACACGGCTATGGAACAGACTACATTGGCTATTCATTACAAGATACTTCTCATCAGATTCAAAGCCCTCCGAGGTCTTGCCCTCCGTATATTTCTGATCTGACTCATACCTATACGCCTCAGTTCGCACACTTAGATCATCTGATACCGGTCTGTTGTTGGAAGGGCCTTTTGTATCTCTGCCCTAACACATACGCAACCTCTCCTCATTACATGTTTCCAAAACCCACCTTAAAACATATCTTTTCGCTTCTAAGATCCCTAACTTTATGATATGTTCATTTTATGTATGTTATCTACGCTCAGTGTATCTGTATTGTCTCTTTGTAAAGCGAGTTTGGGTTTGCAAAAAAAGTGCTAAATAAAATAAACGTATTGTTTTTATTCTTATTCAATTAAAAAATGATCCAGATGTATTACAGTAATGAGCATTTGGGGTCAAAATGTGCTTAATTGTCATATATCAATACATTGTCAATACAAAAAAAATCATACGGGTCCTAAAAACAGGCTTCATTTTATTTACAATTTTTTTATTTTTTTATTTTTTATTTAGATTTTTGCATGAAATGTGACCTTGATATGGTTTCATGAGATTCACAGGACTAGATACATGTATGTATGAGAACGTGTGTGCGGGTGGGGGGTCTCGGAGATGTCAATAATGTCAGTTTTTCAGGTGATCGAGGCATCGCGCCGTTCCACCGGTTCTGCTTATACACTGCGCTCGTCTCTCTCTCTGCCAGGATCACTCTCAGCTTATCCCTGTCTCTCTCTGTCATTCCCTATACATCTCCTCAGCTCTCTACGTCCACTCTATATCGCTTCCCTGCATTAATTCAACTCGGCTTCATTAAACCTGACCACTGGAGAATAAGAGTCGTTCTGTTTCTGGCCCTGAACCGCACGCTGTGTGTGTGTGTGTGCGTCTCTCAGTCTGAGTGTGTGAGGAAGACCGAATTAGTGTTTGCATTTATGTGAGGATTGAGAAAATAATTCATGTGGATACAGTAGGAATGTGTGCTTGAGTGTGTGTGTTTGGCTCTTGGCAGCTCATTACAGCTCAGCAGGTAATTGGCCAGACAGGTCGCCCCAAGGAACCCTGGGAACAGAGCTGGGGGGCAGGAAATGAGCAGTGACCGCAGCAGACCACTCCAACACGAGTGTGTGTGTGTGTGTGTGTGTGTGTGTGTGTGTGTGTGTGTGTGTGTGTGCAGGAGTGTCATGACCGCGCTGTTAATCGTACGGTTAGCGTTCACTAACCCGAGTACAGCCGCCGCAGTGACCACTAACAGACCTGTCTGCTAGATCTACACATGCATATTATACTGTCTCTAAAATGCGCACACACCGTTGCTAGAAATCAATTTTGCTTGTGGCGTAACGTCACACAAAAATTATGAATCGGTAAGTACCGTTTGGAAGTCACGGCTTGGTGTGTTTTCCGTAGCAGGGGGAAAAACACGATATAAAATCGCTTCTTTTCTTCTTAATTAAACAGTGCGCTTTACTGAACAAACTGTCTTTAAATAAATATCTGGTAATACTCCTGCAACCAGCTGCAAAACACTTCTTTCTGCCGTTTGTGGTGCTGTTGTAAATGGGGGAAGAGATTTGAAGCACTTCCACTTTTGGAAAAATATTTTAGCAAAATGTGTATTTACTTAAAATATACTTAACTTAATTATTGCGCTCGCATTTTATTGTCTGTTAGGCGCTTCTTTAGTAAAGTCGGTGAAGTTTAAAGGAGACTCGCTTGCTGTCAGAATGATCCTTTATATACAAAATGGAAATACTGGTGTGACTTTCTAACATTTACAGATAAGAATGCAACCATAAGATGTATATGCTTGGATTGTGAACTTTTCCCACAGAAGATCACTATGTCCTACGTTTCAGATGTGTTCGCAACATCAAAGTATATCGATATACACGGCTGCGTCCGAAATCGCATACTCTATTGAGTAGGTACTTATTTTGAATAAGTAATTACTTCACAAGCACTAATAAAGTATGTAGTATGGGTGTAATCAGGATGTGCTACATTCGCCATGTTGTCATCATCATGTGACCTACCAGCGTCAGTTACGTCGCTTCACTATCATTCACAAATCCTCTCCCGTTGCCTCATGGGACAGTAAAGTGTCCATCATACGCACACTTCAGAATCTCACCGGAAGAAGTTACTTTTTGCCTAATCTTTGAGTACTGTGAATTCGGACATACTACTTTTGTCACATACTGCTTTTCGCCTACTATATAGCAGGGAAGTATGTGATTAAAGATGCAGTTGTGCAGTGGTTAAAATAACGTAAAAAGACTCGTATCGAAAATTTTCAGTACCGTTACACACATAATGTTTAGTGTGTGATATAGAGCATTGTTTGTCACAGTATACGCTGTATATTGTTTTGTGCGCTTGTTAAAGTACTTGTATATTTCTCTTCTCATGAAAGAGCTTGAGGGTCATTCACACTGACATCGATTTGCTGCGACAAAACCACTGGAAGTCATTCGTTTTCAAAGATTTGGCGATTTGAGGTGACGTGAGCGACAGCAACTGTTAGCGCTGCAACATAGATGAGCTAACTGTAGTTTAAGCAAATAAATGTTGATGAGATTTGGCAACAGTAGATGGGAGTTAACATGATCTGATGCAGATACCGCAGTTGAGCAGGAACAGCTACTCAAAACCAGTACATCCAAAACTTCCTACAATTTAAATGCTGCCCAATAGCTTTTATCCAAGGAGATCTTTTGATTTGTCTTGACCTCTTTAGTTTCTCTACTTGATTGTGATTGTTTTTTAAAATATTTCATTTGTTGTGAAAAAGGCTTTAACTGAAACCCAATGCCAGTGTAAAATATACACTACCATTTAAAAGTCAGAGTAAAGAAAGTACTTTTATTCATCAAGGAAGCATTAAATTAATCAAAAAGGACAAAAAAGTAATAAAATAAATCCACTTTTTTAAATAAACGCTGTTCTTTCGAACCGTAGGAATCCTGAAAAAAAAAATGCATCACTGTTTCCACAAAAATATGAATCAGCACAACTTTTTCAACATTGATAAGAATGTTTCTTGAGCAGCAAATCATCATATTAGAATGATTTCTGAAGGATCATGTGACACTGAAGACTGGAGTAATGATGCTGAAAATTCAGCTTTGCATCACTGGATGTGTTTTTGATTTTAAAAAAATGAAGCCGTGTTGAGAATAAGAGACATTTAAAAAAATCTTACCAACCCCAAACTTTTGAAGTGTATATTTGTGGATGAATCTTATAATGAAATGTCTGGGTCATAGGTCACTTAAAAAGTCAATGAAAACAACAAGTTGCATTTTTCAAAAAGAAATTAAGGGCCATTAGCATTTTTTGCACTATGGTGCAATTCAATTTTCATATATTGTATGCAAAGCTCTCATTCTCATTTCTGTAATACAGTATGGACACAGTTACATTACAAATCAGCATAATTTAAAGGCAGAATGACGAATATTTACAATATTACTTATGCAAATTAAATAATAAAAATTTTCTCATTGCATTAATGAGAATGAGGGGGGTTTTTCACATTAAATGAATGAAAATGGCCATTTTCTGTATTACAGTAATGGTCAGTTTCTGATTTTGGTCTGAATCATGAGATTCAGTTTTCATGTGATTCACCCTTTGGCCCAGGTGAGCATACTAGCATAATTTGAACCGTAGTTTATTTCTTTTTTTGTGGGGGTGGGGGGCAATATGTTCTTTGTAAATATCACAGTACAACTTGTTAATGTTGAGAATGCATCATATATATATAATATTTAGTTTTTGTACCTTGTTTGCTACAGCAGGTGGTCTGAAATTGCAATACTAATACTGGAACGTGACTTTATTGGCTGGCATGTAAAGCTTCAGTTATATGTGTACATATTCAGATGGCCTGTGAGAAATACCTGCTCAGATGTTGAATAAGCATCTGAGAGTTCACGGAAACTATCAGAGTTCAACTACAAATTTAGTTGTTTTCTTTCTTGCTTTGAAACCAGTTTAAAGTGCTCTGAAACGCCTTCAGGCATGTGATATGAAGGTCAGGGAGGTGTAGAACTGAAAACAGCTAAAAAACTTAATAACAATAAACCAATGTCAGCTCTTTAGAACATGTTATGACGGGTCTTTGGTCAATTGCAGGTCATTATTACACCGCTTCTAATTATCTGGCCTGTTTGTGTCTCACATTGAATCGGAGAGTGACGTGTGAAGTTATGTGGCGGTGAGAATGAGATGATAGCGCCGCTGAGAGACTGCGGAGGGTGACGGCTTCACATTTAATGAAGTTGAACGGCTCTCGCCCCGGGTCATTTGACTGGGTCATTGTGCTCGTATGTTAATGTGGTTAATTAATGGGAGTGTGAGAGGAGCTGCTCTCCTGTGTGTGTATGTGTGTGGGATATATATCCTGGGGCAATGAGGTCGAGCTGTAGTTTTGGGAATGACTGGTGGTGAGTAGTTAAACTCAGGCAGAGTCTTGGCTTAAATTAATGCATTCTGTGTGTGCATGTGTGTGTCCTTTTCCACTGGTAATGAGAGTTCCAGTTTTTCAACAGTGCATTATTAGAATTCAATCCTTAGTTCATTGGCCAGAAAAAGAATAGCTTTTTTTTTTTAAAGAAAACTTTTTCAAGTACAACACTTTTTAAATGTTTAAATGTATCTATTAGTTTTTTGTATTTTTAAAATATCTATATTTTTGAAACATATTTAAGGCTTTTAATTTTATTTTGATTTCATTGAATCCTTAGTTTATTTGCCAGACAAAATAATATTTTTGAAGAATACTTTTTCCAAGTACAAGAATTTTAAAATGATTTTAAATATATGTATTAGTTAATCTTATCTATATATATTTATATTTTTTAAATATTTATCTAGAAATATTTGAATATACATTTAATTGAATCCTTAGTTTATTGACAACAAAAAAAAATATCTTTTTAAAAGAATACTTAAACACTTGTATGTATTAGTTTATTTTGTATATTTTTTTATGTATTCATATCCATCTATATTTTTATAATTATTTTAATTCATTATCATTTTACTAAATCCTTAGTTTACTGGACAAATAGAACATCTATTTTGAGAATATTTTAAATGTATTTTTCATATTACTGATTTTTTTTTATTTTTATAATATTTATATATCTAGGCCTATCATTTATTTTGTAAACATTTTTAATACTTTTACTTAAGCGCTGATAATGATGTGTTGTTCACAGTAATGTTTAAACATGAGGAGATCATGTTTGACTACCCTAATCCTAAATATATAATTAAATATATTTTTCTGTATATAGAGAGAATTCATTTGTTGAGTTTAGTAGGTCTCTATCACTTTAAGAATCGAATGCAAATGATTTAAATACAAAGAGTTTCATTTCACTTAGTAATTGCAAAACTAATGTTAGTGTTTTCAATCAGGTTTGCGGTAACGTCCCTCTGCCATCCAAAGGTCAGCAAAACGGATGGTCCGGCAATGGTAGAGCCAAGGTTGCGGTGTCAAGCTAGTTGACCTGGGATAGTACACATAAACCTGGGATAAACCTGGGATAGTACAGTGTTAAAAAGCAAACAGTGACACATTTCAGCTTTAAAGGAAGCAGGTAAGTGTAATACTCACACACATGTACATTAAGCATATACTCCTAATTCATCACAATTCGGATGCACCCCCAAAAACACGCACCCGCAAAAACACACACACACACACACACACACGACCTGTCTTGAGTCTGCTAATATTGCTAAGTGCTGTACAAAAATCCACTTTCCATGTGTCCACCCGGATGCTTCAGGCAGAATTCCTGTGCGTGTGTGTGTGGGAGACAGATGAAGAGTGACAGGTTGGGTAGATTGGCCCATGAGCAGTAGTCGCCTGTGGCACTGACATCACACACACATACAACACGCTCACCCTGACTGTGGGCGATTGTGTGTGTCGAGTGGGAGGATTCGCCACCACACCAAAAAAACACATAATGAAGCCTGACACTGCTGTCGGGGAGGGGGAGGAGTCTGAGTCTTGTTTGGACACGCCCACTGGTGTGCTGAGAGGGAGGGGCCTCACCTAGACCTGCCCACTGACACACTGTATCTGATAACTATATCAGTGGTGTTGTTCATAGGCCTAGTTTATGCGAACCCCATGAACTAATAATAATATATATAATAATAATGTTTATTTTTATAGCGCCTTTCAAGAACCCAAGGTCGCTTCACAAAATAATAAACACTTGACAGACAAAGAGACAAGCAATCTGCTTATTATAACAATCAAACAAGCAGAAAAGCAGATGGAGACAACCAATAACTACAAAGAAGTTATAGAATCAAAGAAAACATCAATTTCGATAAAGTAAACATGTTACATAAAAAATGAAAAAGTGGAAGACAGAGAAATAGAGAGGAAAATAATTATTTACTGAGCATGGTGAATAGATGAGTTTTAAGTTGAGATTTGAAGGTCTGGAGTTTAGGGGTGGCATGACGATTAGGGGGCAGCTTATTCCATAGCTTTCATTTGGGGCCCATTTAACGTCTGTATTCTGCTGGTTTTCTGAGTGAAATGGTAAAAGACCTAATTGAAGCTGATTCAGAAGAAGAGCAGTTTATTTTGATTTAAGGTTACAAATACAAAAAAAAATTCTTTGAAATAAGGCACACTGATGAATCGTTCCCAATAAAACCTTGAACATGAATGAGGTAGATATGAATGGGGTGAATATTGATGATTCATTTTGTGCAGCTCCAATTGTGCAGCTTGATGTGGATGTGAAATTATTTTTCTTAGCGACTCTAAAGTGGTTTTCAGCCGGTAGACGATAAAACAGGTGAAAATATAGCATATGTGCCGTAGACTTACTTAGGAGGAACCAGCGCCACATCATAGTGACTTAAGATAACAACCCAGAAACCCATAGCTACTGCATAGCAACATTCTACAGCATAAAACATGCAAAATACCAGTTGCATAGCAACTCCTTGGCGACCACTCATAACACTACGTCAAGCACATATAAATACAATATAACCCTCAGAACACCTTAGCTACTGCATAGCAACACCCTGGCAGCCAAACAGAACACCATAGTAAGCACACAGAAATACAATATAACCCTCGGAACACCTAGAAACGGGATAGCAACATCATGGCATCGAGTTTTGTTCAAGTAAAATAAAATGTAACCTAGTAGTTTGTTCGTTGCTTAACCCTCCTGACCCAAAATGCAGTGTCTCCTTAGTTATATGATCTCCGTGGATACAGAGGCAGGTGTTCTCATGATTATCGCTGAGGTCGTCATTAATAAGGAGAGAATTTGGTAAAGAAGAAGAGAGTGAGGCAGAGGTTGCATGTAGTGCCTGAAACTCGTCCCTGAGCCGGGTTCGAGGCGTCGTGTAAAACCCCTGTCACAGCATCACTGGGAAATACGTGGCAAACACACGCACTCTCACAATCCGCTGATCAGAGCCCACAGACGTGGCCAATTTGCACTTCTAAGCATCTGCCTTAAACCACAGTGTGTGTGTGTGCATTTTAAAACTGTTTCATGAAGCAGAAAATGTACCTGTTAACCTGTTTGACACATCAAAGCGCTTCGCTAAAAGCTAAACATTTAGCTTCTGAAATTAGAGTGAACAGCTATCGTAGGGTCTGGATTCAGATATCAGCTGCTGGCCGTTCAGACAAACACACGCAGTACATGACTGCTTAAAGCATCCGCACACCAGGCCCTTCACGGCAGTTTAATGCTAAATTAAAGCAATAGTTCACCCCAAAATGAACATTTAGTCATCATTTACTCGCTCTCATGCGCCGTTCTAAATTATTTGACTATCTTTCTTCTGCAAAACCCCAAAGGGGAACATAAGGCTGTTTTACATGCTTTTTTCCATGTACTTATACAATAAATGGGAATGGAAGCTTTCAAACATCAAAAATGATGCAAAAGAACCATTAAGGAATCTTTAAATCTAGCCTGCATCATTTTATCCCTATTATATAAAGGTGGTTATTTTTATTTATATGCATTTATGTATGTTGAATTATAATTTTGTAAGTGAAGTATACACTGTCTTTCAAAAGCTAGGGGTCAGTGAGATCTTTTTTTAAATTAATACTATTATTTAGTAAGGATGCAGTAAATTGATTAAAAGTGACAGTAACAACATTTAAAATGTTACAAAAGATTTACTTCCAACATTGATCATAAGAAATGTTTCTTGAGCAGCAAATCAGCATATTAATATGATTTCTGAAGGATCATGTGACACTGATGACTGAAGAAAATTCAGCTTTGATCACAGGAATAAATTTCGTTTTAAAAGAAGCATGATGGATTTATTGGGATTTGCAACCTCATAATCTTGTTGTATTGGTTAATTGAATCATGAATCAAAGCCTAAATTTCTTCACAATATACTGATTCACGTCATCTCATCATACAGCGATCAGTCTAACCAAAACCTGAGCGCATATGTGCATATTCTTTTTGTTCTCCCCGGTTTTCTCTCAAACCACCCAAAGCGAGCCGGACGGATTGAGTCCAAAGGCTGCGCTGAGGCCTTTAAATGGTTACCTGTGCTCAACACAAAGGCACCAGACTAATTGACACAGACAGCAAGAAAATAGGATCTGTCTTAGAACATCTCTCTTCCACCGGCTCCCTCTCTTTCTCTCCCTCTTTTCTTCGGACGGATGAAAGGCCATCATTCCATCATGTGTGGTTAGCGTTTTCTTCGTAGCCTGAAGTGAAACAGGAAGTTCTTAACTGTTCAGTGGCTTTTGCTTGAGGCAAGGTTCTACCCTGTTCTCTTTTTCACTGTCTCTCGCTTTCTTCCCCCACCCTCTAAAACACACACACACACACACACACACACACACACACACACACACACACACACACACACTTCTGTTCGTAGGGCATCTGCTTTCATTACCATCTATGCTTAATACAGCACATGGAAGAGGAACGGCTCAGTAGGACCTGCTTCACTCGATGTTGTTAAACTCCGAAATGTAGATGTTTTTAGTAAAAACACAGGGATTTTATAGGAAAAAAAATGTTTGGATATCATTACATTAGATAACAAAATATCAAAGCAAGTGTCATCAGTGCTCAAACGCTGCAGGAGCTTTTCTCAGAACTAATTTCACTTTTCTGAGCCGCTTTTTGCGAACTCATCTCAAGATCATTTTTAGTGCATGTATGAAGTCAGTTTCTCTCAAATTTCACTGTGATTGTGATTTTCTGATTTCCTAATAAGACATTGTTTCTGGATCAATGTATTTTTATTATTTCTGGAGCAACATTTCCTATTAAAAATCAGATTTTAGGGTCCTTTTTTTGTAGCAGTAGTAGTAGTTTATACAGTAGTTAGTCCTACTAGGTAGTTAGAAACCAGAAACCTTTTGTTTTAGTAAACAGTGTGTGTATATTATTTCAAACTTAAAAACTTCAACTTAGTTTGGTTAAATGTTTTCATATAATATTTATAATTTAGTTCAGCTTTATTTCAATTTGAGTATCCAAATTTTCAGTTTTGATATGATTGATGGACAGATAGATAGATAGATAGATGGATAGATGGATGGATGGATGTTTGAATGGAGGGATAGGTAGAGACAGGCAGACAGACCTATTTTACCTTAAATTATGAAAATGCACATCCTCTAGTTCTCTAGTCTCAGACACAATTATGAAACAGAGAGAGTGTGATAAATATGAAAGTGATTGTGTCAAACAATAGTGTAAAAGAAACAAAAGACAGATAAGAAAATTGCAAAATTGTTAAAGGGAGTGGAGGCCACAGGGTGGAGAAGAGCAGGAGAGAGAACGTGTGTGTGTGTGTGTGTGTGTGTGTGTGTTTGCGAGTGTGTGTGCGAGTGTGTGTGTGTCTGTGTGTGTGTGTGTGTGTGTGTGTGTGTGTGTGAGTGTGTGAGAGAGAGAGAGAGAGAGAGAGAGTGTGTGTGTGTGTGTGTGTGTGTGTGAGAGAGAGAGAGAGAGAGAGTATGTGTGTGTGTGTGTGCGTGAGTGTGAGAGAGAGAGAGAGAGTGAGAGTGTGTCTGTGTGTGTGCGAGTGCGAGTGTGTGTGTGTGTGCGAGTGTGTCTGTGTGCGTGTGCAAGTGTGTGTGTCTGTGTCTGTCTGTGTGTGTGTATGTGTGTGTGTGTAGCAGCATTGAGATTCTTGGCCTGTATCTGTTGGCAGTGGGGTGTGAGCTGAGATCTGCTGCATAATTGTGAAACCACAGGGACTGCAGCTCTGACCAGCCTGTCAAAACATCATGACAATCGTCCCTCACCGCACAGCACAGGCCAGAGAGAGAGACAGGGAGAGGGTGTCAGCGTTTTGACTGATATACCAGCTGAGAAGTTATAATTACGATCTCTATCTGACATTTGTAATCTAGGCGCGTGCGCACACACACACACACACACACACACACACACACACACACACAGAGATCGTGTGGACTGTGGTTCTTGGGGAGCTTGTGGGGGTGTGCTGGTCT